TTAAATTAGAGTTTTTATTAGAGTAGTGTTTCACTTACTGTAATAAGATAATTTTGTATTTGAGCTCCGACGAGACTGTCTAAGGAATAAAAAAAATATATATATATATAATTATGTAATAGTATTAAATGTTAGAATTGCATAAATTAATAACCAACATAATAACTGACTTATTAACTGATATATTAACTGATCACCTTAATAATTATATCATTTTAATAGAGATTTATTAGTGCAACTAAATACTGAAATAAAATTAAATAAATAATTTAAAAATTTACTTACTGTGAATAATTATGATATTTTATATATAAAGACATATCCGTATTTTTATCTAGCGTTTCATTGTATTCTTTTTTTTTACTTGTCATTCTTCGCATACCTTCTACCTTCTAAATGTACAATCCTTTTCACTATAAAAATATGATGAAGTTCTATATAGCGTAGTAGTATTGTTATTATCACCTTGAGACTTATAAGCGATTATAGATAGATTTTAGAAATAATGTATATATGGAATAAGACTAATATATACAAAAAAAAAAAAAGATTAATGTTTATTCAATAAAATATTAAAAATTTGATTAACATGCCTTAAAGTTCTTTAAAAAGATCCCAAGCTTCTCCATTTCAAATTGTTCAACAACTGCTATAATGGAATTATAATCCTTAATGTTAAATTCATCATGTTGTATTGGATAGAATAATGTAAATTTATTCTCTTTATCATATAGGTGAAGAACCTAAAAATCATACAGAAAAAGGTCAACTATATTAATATTTGTAAATATATTAATTAATAAAAATTTATATCTTTCACCTACCTTTTCTCCAATATAATAGTTTATATATTTGTTAACTTCAGTCCAATTGACTTTGTAAGTATTATTATAATCTGCAATTATTTCAGATGAGCTGATTTGTTAAATGATAGCCTGCAGCTACCAGGTATCCTTTGAAGTTTCATTATATCTTTTAACGCAAGATATCCGTCCTATTGCATGAAGTATATTTGGTAAGGTTTCAGATGTGTGCTAGAAAAGTGGTAATAAGGATGTTGTTTTAATAGCTAATTTTAACTTATCAATATAAGTAATTTTCTCTGAGTCTAAAAAATAGACAAATAATATAATTAATAATTATTAATAATGTTTTCAATAATAAAAATTTTAAATTAAACTTTTGACGTGAATTCTTTTATATAGTTTTTTTTATATGGCTTAATATATGTAAATAGTTAAAAGATAAATAAAGTTTACTATATAGAAAATAATATATAATTTAATTACTTGCAATTTAACAAAGTAGAAACTTATTAGCAAAAAGACCTTTCGAAACTATGTAAATCAGATCTCAAATTATTAGCAATTAAATAATGCATTTGCATTAATATATACAGTTTATTTATATCTTCTATTTTTCAGAAGCTCCTTACAATTTTAATTTAATGCAGGGATATAAATTATAAAGATAGTGCTTTGATTATGTTTAATAATGTCAGATTTCATAATAATTGATATGTAATCATGTGTGTTGAGTCATATTTAACTCTTATATTACATATCTTTTTTTTTTTTTTTTTTAAAAAAAAAAATGCCTTTTAAATGTCCAAATTGCACAAAAGATTTTTCTCGTAGAGCTTCGCTTCGAAATCATATGAAAGTTCATAATGATACCATTGAAAAACTTTTATAAAAAATAGCCGAAGAAAGAAAGAGAGAAAGTCTAATAGAAATAGAAAATAACCAACTTGGAGATGATGAAATAGAGATATATAGCCAACTTGAAGACAATGAAGGTAGAATAGAAATAGATAGCCAACTTGGAGACGATGAAAGTGGAATAGAAATAGATAGACAACTTGGAGATAACGAAGGTGAAATAGATGAAGACAACGAAAGTAGAATAAGGATAGATAACCAACTTGGTGATGAGGATAACTATAATTACCATATAGAGGACCAGCAAGAAAACCAGCTTGAAGGTCAATTAGAAAGTGAGATAGAAGAAATGAGAGATCAAGTCATGGTAAATAAATAATAAATTTTTTTTTTTTTTTTTTAATATTAAAGGTAATAAATAATAATTTAAGGCATGCGAAGTTACATGAACAATAGAAAAAATATAAACAATAACGATAAATTAATTGTTTGTATAACATCACATGTATAACAAATAAACTTTATTTTCGATTAACATTAAATATATCAATATATATATATATACATATAAAATTTAGGACCATGTATTACTAGACGTAGAACTATCTTTAGTTTTTGAATCTCTTGATATTACTAAGCCAGTAAATAGCGAGGAAGTGAGCTTTCCAAGTGATGAATATG